AAGAGGTGAGTAGACGTGTTGAGGCATAAATAAATTTAAATATTTCTGATATGATACTTTCTATTCTCAGGTTGGCTCTAAATTCCCGTAGTACCATAGACTTTGAGAACTATACAAAACTGACAACACTTCATTCCTATCACATGCTATTTCCTCCTTTAGGAAAAAATCGTTTTAATTTTTTTCTCTGTCATCTTCATGTTCCCACATTATATATGCATGAAAGAATATTACTATTGATTAATTAAGGGAAATAAGGATAAGGGGAAACAGTATTTCTGTATGTTTCGTACCTAACTGTACGATTAACTGTTCGCCCGTTTGAAGTATTAAACGATGCATAGTCATCATTCCCACGAACTAACACTTTGGTTGAAGCTATGGAATCTATACGTTCTGTGATTGAATTCACCGAATATTCAACGAGTGTTACAGGTACCTGCATAATGAGAAAGAAAACATTACTTATAAAACAAAAGTTTCACCATTTAGTGTTTTTACCAAACAAAGCAATTATACCTACAAAATTTTTTGCAGTAACTAAAGGATTTAGGTCAAGGAGAAATTCGTAAGTCTCCTAAACTATTTAAGTACATTGAAATTACTACATTTATCATTTAGTCTAAGCTACTAATAGTAAATATCTTGCAAGCGGTCTTATTGAGTAAATATTTTTATACCTTGAGCGTATATAAAACTTAAATTATCTATCCTACTAGTGTGACAAGATACAAACATTATGAGAGTTTTCAGTTTCATTAAATACCTTAACAATGAGGTCAACTGCCTTGTAAGCTGCATCAACAGGTCCTGTTCCAACAGAAGAGGCAGTGTGCTCATGACCATCACTGTCAATAAGCTTAACATTTGCTGTAGAGAGGCCAACACTTCCACAAGTAATCTGTACATTAAACAGAAAATCATTTGAATTAAGTGAACATTAATTCCTTTTCAATCCACAACTACTAGCAAAAATACATGAAATTAAATACTTCCTCTGTTCCAGTTTATGTGAACCTATTAACTTTTTAGTACGTTCCAAAAAGAATGACCCATTTCTAAATTTGGTAACAATTTTGCTTAAACATACAGTTCTACCCTTAATTAATGAGAAGCTTTTATAACCACACAAATATTATTCTGGGCTCCTTTTAACTATTCCAAAAGTCTTCATTTTTTCTTAAACTCCGTGCCCAGTCAAATAAGTTCACATAAATTGGACCGGAGGGAGTAGTATTTACATGTACCTGTACATCTCCAAGTTGCCAGGAAACTTGAGGCTGGAAAACTTCATCTGATACAAGTGCTCTCAAGTCATGATTTGTAATTTTCTGAAAGATAAATGTAGGGAATATAAATAGGCGGACATACTTATTCGTTATACCGACACAGGTAAACTTTTAATTAGGTAAGCTTCACCACAGAACTGGAAAACCTATAGGGTTAATTTCATATATTAATATAATGACTGAACTTTACTCACTATAAAATAAAGTTTATTATAAAATTTATCAAAAAACAAATGACTTAATTATATCTACTATGACAGTAAAATCACAAAAATATACCCATTAGACCAGTAAAGTCGCGATCACAAATTTGACCATTGCGCTATGAAATTATACCAGCAACGTAATCACCTTTTTCCTCTCAGCCAGTGACTTGAATCGATGAAAGAGGTCATCAAGTTCTTTGCCGTCAAAGTCATATCCAAGCTGTAACAAAATAAAATGATTACTAATGTCATTACTATAACATTAGTAATATATCGCACTGTAGGTTATCTATCTTACCTCAACCATTTTGGCTTTCAACGCATGGCGACCACTGCACAAAAAATTCACCATGTTACAAAATTCCTTAAAGGAAAGATGTACATCAATGTGCCTAATGTAAATGGGAAAAAGGGAGAGTTGGGGTTGATTTTAGTGGCGAAGCCAGAAATATTTTCAAGGGTGTTCAGACTTGAAAAAAGTATATAAAATTTTCCGACACAGGGTGTTCAATATATGTTTTATACATCTAAAATCAATATTTTACTTATATACACAGTACAAGTTTTCATAATATTTCGCCAAAGGGTGGTTAGTTGACCACCCTTTGTAAAAGGTGGCCTCGCCCCTGGTTGATTTTATACAATAATGGCGGTACTAAAATGCTAGGGGATAGTAATACTATAATACGTGTTTCAAAGTGTTAGAACTGTATGATAATTTCATATAAAAACTTAAGCGGTTAGAGATAGCACGCTTTAATTTAGTTCACTTATGTATATATATTTTTTTTAATGTAAAGGGATTATACCGTACAAGTTTCAATAAGGATAGTTGGACATATTTGATTGATGACTATAGTCGATTCTTGCATATGTTGACACAAAATTGGTAGGACTATATATTAGGCAAAATACATAAGTTACCCCCAAACTATGCACCAAATCCTTCTTACACACTTTTTGCGAACCAAAATTACTTTATCCACTCAACCTTTTCGAAGTGTGTCTAAGACACCCTATTTTTGACCAGGTAAATTACACGCAAAACGGGCGCGTGAAGACGTGAAAAATGAAAATCTGAAATTTTATTTGAATGGTGTAGATTCAAGCAAGTTGATCCAAATGTCTAAAATTTTTTTTTCTTTTTTATCCTTTTTTCTTTTACCATTACACAAAAAAATAACAAAAAACAAAATCGCTAATGCTAAAACCTTCGTCCCCAACTTCCCTGCTCATTGATCTTATTCCCAGGATATACTTCACCCAAGCACTCCAGTAGATTCAAGTAGGAATAAAAAAGAAATAATCTTTAGATTTAATATCTCCACCCGTGTTTTTTTCCATAGCCATGGAGTTATCAGTGAAACCTTATCTTTTTCTGTCTTTTATCAACCGAAAATGAAGTTCTGCTTGAAACTCCGGCCGATGAAATAGTTTAAATTCTGCTTCAAGATGAAAAATAAAGAAGTTAATACAGTTGGGTGCTTCATTAATAAGAATATGGCAGTGGCACAAGAATAGAGTTAATGGGTTTCTTCTTGTGGGTTCTATCTGCCATGGCTGCTATGGTTTTAGAGGAAGAATGATTGTACACTTCCACTACAACTTAACTGGTGCAAAATCAATAATCCATTTCATATATCAATCAAAGAAATTCTGGGTTTTTCTTAAAGAATGGGAGAAGTAAGGTGTTTTATGAGGGAATGTTCCGATTAATCGGAGAGGAAAGTGGTGGACGGTGGGGGAGGGGTGTGGGGGGGGGGAGAGGGAAAAGTAAGAGATGAGTGGGGTGGGGTTTGTTTTCTGATTTCTTTTTCTTGTTTAAAAATTAGTATCAATTGGGATGCAAATTATGCATTTTTTTTTCTGAGTTATGACGCGTGTCACGATTTAATTTGCGCGTGTGATGCAATCTCTGAGATGAAGTGGTCAAACANAAAAAAGGTGTGTCTTAGGCACACTTCGAAAAGCTTGAGTGTGTAAGATAATTTTGGTCCGCAAAAAGTGTGTAAAGAGGGATTTGGTCCATAGATTAGGGGGTAACTTATGTATTTTGCCTATATATTATTAGTCGAATTCTTTTGACTTCATCCAAAAATATGGGGAAAAGAC